GTAAGATATCGTACCAAAACGACATAAAAGCCACTAAAGAGAACAAAGACTGAACCAAAGGAAACCAAGTCCATTAGCTCATCAACAACTAAAACCAGGATCCACAATTATAATGTCACCCACACAAATAGCATTCCATCACATTCACAGAAGCAGATAAAAAGGAGCTAAGGTGAATTTGGAAGACCATAAGGGGGACGGGGAAAAGGTTGGGACACGATCTGGAGGACCATCATGACTAATAATCACCATCAATTCAAGGGTCGGTTTAATTCCTATTTTTTGTTTCGTTTCGGTAAGGGATATATATAAGAGCCAAATAAAATTTAGTTCAGATCAGTTCAAACAAGTCTTGGTTTGGTTATGATCATATAACATAACTAATAACCAACCAATAATATATTCAGTTCAAATCAAATCATATATTTTGATTCAAAATCATATCTAATTTCCAAAAAAAATCCGAAAGTACGTAGTTTTAAATAATTGTGAGCTATATGAACTAATTAAACAATATCCTAAATTCTCAACTTTTGATAAAATTTAGTTCAGTTGTGGATAGTTATACTCAGTAATCTTTCCAAAAATTGTGTATTTTGGTGATTTTGAATATTTCATTTATTTCGATATAAATATAACTAATATCTATAGCTATCTATATTATTATTAGAGAAGTACATTTGTTTAGTTGTCAACTTCTCAATGATTTTAGGTAATTTTTTTTATTTGTCATATTTTTATGATTTTGACTAATGATTAATTATTACTCTTAATGAATAATTACATTTATTAATATATAATTAACTTAATATTTAATTATCACTAAATATTTAAAAGACATTAGTGTTTTAAGTTTATGTTACGTGATAAAAAAAATATTTACATTACGATAAAAACTTGTATATATAAAGAGTTTATTGTTTAATTTTTATTAAATATTTTTAATATTAAATATTATATATTATTAAATATTAATTTATTTTTATTTTATTTCAACTATGTATTTATTTTAAAATATTTGTAAAATTATTATGTCCGCATGTGCGGACAAAACACCTAGTACACTTGTATTTATTCGAATAGACATTTGATTTTGGTCCAACTGTTTTCAAGCAAATAACTATCGCCTGTTTATGTTTATGACTATCCAATTTGGTTTAATATCCTGATCTTCTATTTTAGTTTAATTAATTTTTTTTCTTTTGGTTTCAGATAATTTGCCTAGATATAACATTAATAATAAAAATCGTAGAAAAATAAATACTAAGGACAAACAATTAGATTAATCGTGATATTTGATATATACCCGTTCTTGGTTGGTGGTCGATATATTCAAACAGATAATACATTTTTACAATGTAAACACAATATTGTGAGACTGGCTTTCTGGTACTTGATTGACTCTGTAAAAACGTGCCCAACCTAATATGTCTGTAAAGTCAAAATATTGTGTAGCATATGTGAATTTTGGTATTTCTACAGTACATTCTCGTAAACATATGTTTTTTAATTTAAAGGAAAATGATAAAAATGAGCCAATAATTGGTTCGACCAGATAAAGTACACTCAGCTTCCTTGTTCGGCAAGAGAACATCAACACCTAACTGTGAACTGTTTTATCCTTCTATGGCACTCAGATTATGACTATTGATTTGAAGCCTCCCACACCACACGGTGATTAATATTTCCTCACCGTAGAAAATAATTGATTACTGTCCATTGGTTGATCAGAATCTCCTTACACATGCTATCAAAACAGAAACATTAATGTATCAGATGGTTAGCTAATGAAATTGACATGTTCCTAACATGTAAAGTATATTGGCCTATATATTTTTATAACATAAAAACAAATCCAAATTTCTCCTATTTATTGGTACTGGAGAGTTACCTAATGAAATGAAAAGATGAAGGAAACTGGCTCGATTTCATTTGGGTTAGAAGAATCTACTAATCAATTATATGTCCACTAGTGACTAGTATACTTAGATTATATGATAGTGTGCTTTAAAGAACATATCAGCGAGGACTTAACGCAGTAGCTTAGGTTACTAAATTTTGTGTAAAAAGAAAAAGCTTAGGTTACCAAATCTATTTTTTTTTTAATTGGTAGGACCTTACAGCTGCATTAAGTTCGAGTGGTAGAGCATCTTCATGCTTTGTCAAGTCTGCAATTTCAAAAGAGAATAAACTTACTGAGATTCAATCACATCGACGTTTAATTGAAGGACATCACGACATGTAATTTAATATCAAATATCAGTCTCACTGAAATGAATTCTGCTTCAACTACTCTTTTTATTTTTTATTAACTCCAATAAATTCATAATCTCATTAAAATTAAAGATCGACATTTTTGTAGCACTACTGATTTTTTTCGTTGTCGTCATGCATATGTTATTGGATCGCTAGGAAATGAAAATTTAAGTGACTTACTATACCATGCCATGAATTAAACACATAGTCCAAATAATAAATATTTGAGTACCCACCGTATCATCTTTGAATTTATACTAATGTAAAGTCATAAATGATGATGCGGAGAGTAAATTAAACTATGAAAAAAATTTACATATAACTTTTTCAAAAAAAAAAAAAATTACATATAATTAGAAAAAATTATGTGGAAAAAACTTAAATATATCGGCTACAACAAATTTGAGATCCAAATTTTAGCAAAAATAAAAACAAATTTGAGATAGTGTATATAAGGTTTACTCGAAACATTGATCTTATATTCTCCATTTAAAAAAGAATATGTAAAATATATGATCCCCAACTTACCAAAACAATTTTTTATTATTTATTCTGTTAAATTATTAATCATCCTCGGAATCTTAAGGTTAGTCCTGGGTTAACTAAGCTGTTAACGCCAACTGTGGATGTATGAACATGTTTTAAATACCACCACATATTGACATAAGAAATGAAAACGCAACTTCAAAAATCCCTTATATATTAATCCTGAAGCATTCATAAATACACAACCTTGGAGAGCATGCTTACGTGTCAAGCTTACAGAGCTTCTCAACCTTAATTTTTTAATGGACCAACTTTGCTAAGAATAAAATAATGTAACATTTAATTTTTTGCATTTAGGACTATATTATATAAACATTTTTAAGGGACTAACTATGATAGGTATAAAACAATATATTTTCTTTCCTTAAATAAAAACTACGGAATTACCTAATATGATTAACATATATATGTAATTAATGATTATGAATAATACATATTTTTGTGTGTTTAATTTTAAAATTTTAAAATAAATTAAAGATATCACATTAAATATATAATAAAAAATTAAATTTTTTCTTATAGGTTATATTTTTAATTTTTTAAAACGACCATAATTAACTAAAAATAGTAAAATCCCACATTGAAAATTTTATGATCAATGGTTTAACTTTGTTTTTTTCAAATAAGATACAAATTATCATAAATCATACGAATATGAAATATCATTAGTAGATATTCATATTATAAATATGTTAATTTAAAAATTTCAGTGAAAAGGTTTGAGATTAGTAAATACAAATTATAGTATTCGAAAGATTTTTGTAGTTTGTTTTATTTGCTTTTTTATAAAAATATCTTTTAGTTTGTTTAGATAATTTAGCTAATTTTAAATTAGATTTATTAATAGTTTAAATATTTTGAATTTTTTGTCAACTTTTAATGTTTAAAAAATATTTTTTGGGATAATTTCAGATATTGGTTACAATCCAATCTAAACTGAATTGAGAAGACCAAATCGAATCCAATCCGATAATTAGTAAAATTCAAATAAGATTTATGAGAATAATACCAAAATCTGAAAATACGTCTCAATCAAACCAAAACCGATGAAGTCTTAAACGTCCAGATCTGTGATGATTTAAGATACCAACATTTGTATTCATCATTTTATAATCGATAAATACTGTAGTATTGCAAAATATTAAAAACCATTTAATGAATAACTATTGGTATAAAAATTTCACCCCGCGCATGCGCGCGGGATATCATCTAGTATTTAATTATAGTCAAGCCAGTAAGAGTAAACACATATGTAAATGTTTATAAATTTGTGCGAGATTTATGAATGTATCACATGGAGTAATTCGACTTATCAGGGAATGAGTTACACTTATCTTTAAAATAAAGGACAGCCAATCAATAAATATTTGGTTCTAAACCTAATAAAAAGGGAACATAAAGGACCGCATAACCGGCACGACCAATCTCCTTCGTATTAATTTCATACAATATTGAGATATCTCATTACAAAATTTTCTGATTACAATCTGATTTAGACCAAAATGTATTCATTAAATAAAATACAAATGGAAAATGACTATTCTTTAACTACTTTACAGCTCTCAAACTAGATAGGAAGACTGCCAAGGACAACAAATGGTGGCACCTACTTGAGGAAATCTTTTTCAGATTTTATATGCAGAACGATGATTTACCTAAACATTCATACCTTTGTTCTCGAATTAAGACAAAAATAATTAACTAACTAGGGTCCACTTCGTCGCTATGTCATGCGCCAAACAAAACTCAAACCCCACAACATGTCTTGGGTTCATAGATTAATGATCTTAACGTTATGTGAGTCAGTGGATGATTTGGTTGTGTTTTGTTGATTGATGACCGTTAATTTTGTACGGTTTCGACAGTTAGGCATTTAGCGGTTGACATTCAAGAGAGTTTAGAATAAAACCTGTCAAGGCTAAATATGAATTATTGGTGTATGACTCCCAAAATTTAAAAATAATTTACATAAAATAGACCCTCCGATGAAGTGAAGACATGGTCAATCAATATTACGTAAGAACATAATCAAGAAAAATGAATGAAAAACTTATCAAGCAGAAAATATAACTACACCAAACAGTATATATATCAAGTCATTATAATCTACGAAATAACGAAATGATTCCAATTTTTTTTCCTATTTCGGTAAGTTATATATCAGCCAAACATGTAATCAATGTTTCTTGCTAGCTTAATTACACATCTCTTGGATCTACAAAGAGAGAACGTGACTTAGAACTCAACAACATTTCGGTAAAGTCACTCAAACCTGTCGTATTCTCTTCACGTTTCAACGGTTTGATGCACCAAGTGTCATCCTCACACGAAAGCATTTTCCAATGCGGAACACATCTCCTCACAGAATCATTACTACTGCCGTTACTTTCTCCGTCGACCTCTACCACCACGACCTTACACGCACCACCGTCATCTGAAGCAGCCATGTTACTAACGTGCTCACACAAAGCCCTAACGAGTTTCCCACGTAACGGACCTTCTGCGTGAACACCGTAAATGAAGTAGAATCCAAACGGAGTAAACAGATCAGGCAACGCCGTTAAGCCCAAGAACGGCAAGAATCTACCGAAAAACTTGCAAACTTTGGTGAGAAAGACATAGCTCAAAGGAGCTTTGCCAATCCTAAGTTTGAATACTTTGCTACTATTCCATGCACTAAGTATTGCCCAACTTTTGATAGTGTCCTTGTTCTTGTAATAAGCTACCCATGTTCCTATATTTAACTTGTTCCGCAAGATTTTGACTATGTCGTCCGGGAAAAAATCTGTCTTTGATACTACGTGTTTCCGGTACCATGATGCAGCTTCTTTCACCTGTCAGTTACAGTTACAGAATAGACATTAAATGTCAATATTTCCCATGTGGGCGTACTTCAGTTTTGTCTTCTAGTTGCTTAAGCCCAAACTAATTTTCTAAATATAAAGATAAGTGACCATAAACTAATTTTCCTAGCTTTTTCAGAGCCGGCGATGAGATTTTTACATTTGAAAAATTAACTCAATTTATAAAATTAACGTTTTAAACTTTATATGGTCAGTTATAGTTTGAAATATTCGCATAGTTTAGATTTTATATAACTAATGAATGTGTAGTAAAATTACCTTTAGCTTCCTTATTTCAATGTCAGAAGGCAGTTTCAAACCTCTGGGGTTTACCGGATTGACCAGAATTGCCGGGTTTCTGAAGATGACATAGCCAAGTGTTCCAACGAAGAGACCGAGAGAGGCCTCGTTGTCCTTTTGGGTGGCCATGTAAGCATAGTCAGCATTGTGAGACATGAACCATTCCTCAAGCTTTGTCACTAGAATCGAACCAATGCCATGGCGTCGATATGATGGCATGACTCTGAGAGCAAGAACGTAACCCACAGTCACTGATTTATCTTGAAACTTAACTGGCTTTACAGACCCTTGTATGGAACCAACCAGTTTGTTCCGAACTTCTGCCACCTATTAAATAACGTACATAGTTTTGTTAAATTTATGTCAATCAAATACTTCACTTATTACAAAAATATAAGATGTATTTTAAATTGTCTAATACAACCTTAATTGTTTTCAAGCTAAGGAATACTTGTATTGCTTGATCTCTCTATTTTAATATAACCCATTTAGTAAAAACTATAAAATTGTCTGAACCTACGAATTTTAAGATAATACTTTTTAAAGTAAAAATATAATATCAAAACAAGGACTTTAAAAAATTTATAAATCAAATTAAAATATTACCCTTTTGTTGAAACGGAAATTAGAATATAAAATATTGTGCGTGAAATTCATTCTTTTTTTTCTGTATCAAGTTTTACTATTTTGAGACAAAAAAAAAAAAAAAGAACGGAACAGTCTCCGTATATATATTATCGTTTAGTTTTATATAAAACAAGGAATAACTAAGAGAAGAAAAAAATATTAAGAGAGGAAGTTAGAGCGGAGATTAACCAGCATAGTGAAGAGAGGAGTGTTCCGGATTCTGCAGATGGGATCGCCCAAAGTGTGTGTGAAGAGAAAAGTTTGGTCGTTACCAATCTCACAGCTTTTCTCCACACGTTCCATTTCAACTCTGTCCTTACGATCATTGTAGAATCTGATCACCACCTTTTCTTCATCTTCTTTCCCCCATTGCCCCACCATTTTCACACTCTCCCTCTCTCTCTCTCTATATATATATCTAAAATGATATGACAAGATCAGGTATACACAGTCCATACAAGGCGAAGACCCATCTGAATATCTGATGTTATATTGCGGGATATTATAGAGCTTGAAAACTTCACATTCAACTTTTTATTGGGGGGCAACGTCACGTTTATCTAATTAATGTGTCCTTACATAAGAACTGTGAGGCTATGACTTAGCTTTGCTATTAATCGTTTAGTTACAACTTACAACAAATTACGTGCCACCAGAATTTTGAGTTTACTAAATTGAAACCATCTATACTATTAAAAGAGAAAGAGTCTAAATAAATCTACTTAAAAAAGTTGTTTGGATATTTTCATTAGACTAACATTTTTTAGTCTTTTTTTATATTTCTCTAACTATATAAATACTTTACAATTTAAATGAACTCATTTATTACTTTCTATAAACTATTATAAAATTTCTCTAACAATAAATATTCATGATATTATAACTATGACACTTTTAATTAATTATAAGCAATCAATTATTAAATTTTGATATTACATTCTTAAACAAGAACTAAATGATTAATTTTATGATATATTAAAACTAAATGGGTCTAAACATTATAAGTTGGAGATTCAAAAAAAATTGGTCAAAAAATTGATTAAATAAGATATGTTTATTTATTTTACATGATATATTTTTCTTTAATTTAAAATATAAACTAGCCTACGATTTAAATATCAGATATGTTGAATATTTTAATAAAAATATTCAGGTAATTACTTGATTTGTCTAATTTGGATTAGAAATAGTATTTTAGGTTATTTAGTATTTAGATATTATATATAATTAATATTTCTAGGTATATAATTTATATATAAAAAATTTAAGTACACATTTGGTTATCGGTTCGATTTCTATTTTCAGATTCTAGAGACATGTGATATTATCGATTATTTATGAAATTTAGCTTAATTTAATTCCGTTTCAATTTTTTTAAATAAAAAAAAAATTAAGTATCCATTTTTGCATAATCGAAAAAATAGAAACCACACTTCTCAATGGGTTAATAACAATCTTTTGATTTTAAGATATCTTACCATATTCTTTTTATTAATTTTTACAAGACTGAAATAAAATAATAAAATAAATTTTAAATATTATAGATATCTAATAATAGACATAAATTCATTATATATTTGACTTTACGGTCAATAAAAATATAAGAAACCTGGGTCAAAATCTAAATTATTTCATCTAAAAGTTAATTTATTACGGCAAACTATTTAATTTACCTTAATTATATCAACCAAAAAAATCTAAACTGCATCTACTTATATTTTCTACCATGATTTTGGGAAACCTAAATTGATTACAAAAATTATTTCATATATTATCTTAACCTAAATTGACAACAACTCTCTTCTTTTACAAATACAAGCTATCTCGGACCTCTTTTACCATCAACTCAATCAAATTTAAAAACACCATCAAAACTCATTAAAGTATCTATTCCAAAATATTTGGCTTTACGATCAACAAAAAATACTCGCGCTTCTTAAGCGCGGATCAAAATCTAATATACATTAAACATCATACGTATAAATTTTCATATATTGTTTTGGCAAGTTTTTTAATGATTATACTTGACAAATTCTTTGAAGTTGTTGTTAATTCTTGACTCAAAATCTATATTATAATAGTTGAGTTTCAAGACTCCTCAACGCGCCACATCAGCATTAGGTGGGTCCCACTTTAAAAAATGTGAAAAGATGTCAAACATATGATTCGAACCCGGGTTATTAAGAAACAAACACTAACATTCATACCACTAAACTACAAGATAACTTGTACATTGATGGCCGGAACTAATATATATTTAGCCGGAAGCCTTTGCATCTATGGCCTCCTTTAAAGTTCGGGCCTGGAAGTGTATTATGAGTTTCATTTTTAATTGGGGTTCATCATATTATATGAAGAAAATCCTCAAATTTACAACAGTTACAGTTTCCCATATTGTAAACCGTTAATGTTTAAAATGAGTTAAGATTCCTTTCACCATCGTCTCATACATGTCTGAGTTATTGAGCTGCGTCGTGTGTCTGTTCGTAATCTACTTTTTTCACCGGTGAACTTTTCATCTCCCCATCTTACATCGCTTGATCATAAATATTCCTGATTTGTAGCCCCTCTGTAAATCATATATATATGATTCTCATCTTTGATGAACCCTATGTGCATCTCCACAAAACTTATCTATTCCTCTTAACTTTAACCATCTTCTAGAAAATGTCTCTCTCTCCTTCTCCAGTTCCTAAAACTAGCGTCACCGGCATCCGTCATGCAGCCTTCAAGTCTCTCTGTCATGTTAAAGTAAACATAAGCCATACCAACCAAATTAACATATAGAACCTCAAATCATTCAGTATGGGTTTTAGTAAACGAAACTAATAATAATAGAAATAAAGTCATACAACAAATTCAAACCTTCTTATTGCAGGTTCCGA